GTTCAGCGCCTGGCCGTGCGTTCCCTGCCGGCACCACCGGGGCGGGCAGGCAGCTCCACCGACGTCCCGGCAAATACTTGTTATTTCATTACAAGTCCTCACTTAAGGCTCACGGCCCAAACCGTTTTCCGAGGGAAGCGAATACAGTTACGAAAAGCGTAAGTACGTACGTACTGCGCTCGCAGCCGACGTCCTTCACGGCCTGCCTCAGCCTCGACTAAACGCCTTACCTGGCTGCTGCGGCAAGACGCGCCGAGGACAGCGTGTGCTTCTGCCTTCCTCCAGCCGCCTTACTCGCAGCACGCGTTCAGCTGTATGATGCACGTTCTACAGCATTATCCTCTCCCTATTTCCGCATGCTGCAACTTAGTGCTAGGTATATGTTCTAACTTACAAGTGAGCTTTCTTCTCTCGTTTGTTGCAGAGGGTGGGGCATTTTTTCTGAGTTTTTCTCAGGTTTTTTTTTTGGTGGTGGTGGTGGTGGTTTAGGGTAGGGTTTATAGCGTTGTTTTAGTTTCCACACAGTACTTTCCCCTCATGTATCTCTCTTCCAGTCTCTTTAGATCATTAATAGGTACAGTAGCAAGGTAAGCAACCATTACATTCATTAGCCCCCACCTTGAGTTTGTACATTGCCTTTAGCAAAAGTTCTGATCCATCCTACCGCAGCTGTAAGACAAGCTGCAAAACCCATCCTAGAAACAAACAGCCAGTAGATCTAATACACAAGACAATTACTGCACCACCACCACCCCCCACCCCCCCCCTTCGTTTTTCCTGTCATCAGTTGCCTTTAAAGTGCCTAGTTTTTAGGTACAGGAGACAAATGCAGCTCTTAAAAAAAAAAAAAATTTTGCAAAGGTCAGCTTTGAATTTCAGAACAACTGTGAAACCGATTCAGGGAAATAGGGGCTATAGAACAGAGGTGAAATTAGAAATCAAAAGTCACACACTCCTGCTCCCTGCCCCCCCCAGATTTTCTGCCCTGTCTAGATTTTCTTTCCCCAGTTAGATGAATCGGAAAGCAGAACTCTCCACATTGTACTCTTACATGTGCCACTAATTACACAGGACAACCATTACAAGTAAGAATCTTGCATTCTGTTCAGAACTGTCCAAGTGGTATCTGGATGAACTCTCCAAGGCCTGGTTTCTGAAACAGGATCAGAACCATGAATTGCAGGGAAATGCATACACCTCCTGCAAGTTAAAATGTGTAAGTTCAGTAGGTACTGCATCTCCAACATCGTGCTATGTCCACCACTTAACTACACTCACTCCTTTTGTGCTCCTCTAGTAGACAGTTACCCTATCAGCATCAGTAGAAGCCTAACCTCAGTGCTGAGTATCAACCTAGAACATACCTTGGAGGTCCTGCTTTAGTTTACAGTTGGTCCATCTGTGTCACATTATCCCCTCCAGTTAAAAGAAAACCAAGAGAGATCAGCAGCTTAACAGGACCATTGACCATGATGCAAAATTTACACAAAGTTGGCAGGCACAGTTCTCTACAAGTTAATCACAACTATCATCTTTTCTTAAACGCAGAAAGCAAACAAGTTGGCCAGTATGCTTAAACTCATCATTTGCAGCTGCACAAAACAGCTGTACACTCTTGATACTGCAGTTTTTCTTTCTGTAAGATGACAAGGCAATAAAGTAGACACACAGAGTTCACACACACACAAAAAAGGACTGCAGTTCTCAGGAAGCCCTTTATTAAGTCAAGGAGACTACTTTATTAAGTAAAGGAGAAACTACTGTTATTCACCATGCTTCTCGTCTTGAGGTGGTTCATACTGAGCCAGCTGTGAATTTAAAGAGAGAAATTTAGTTAGCTGCAACATTTCAGAGACGCTTTCTCCATTAAGAAATGTAGGAAAACGTTTAGTCTGGAAGCATTCCATTTACATGGTGGATTTTAACCCATCACTGATACTTATGCAAGTCCATGTTCAAGTCAGGCAACAAAGTAACCCTTCCCTCAAAACACAAATTCGTCACATTGTATAATCACGCAGCTATAACAACGGGACTTTTTAAATGCACTTTCAAGCATACAGGTCTTGCCCTTAATTTTTTTGCCTGTTTCTTGTTCTAGGTCTCATTAAGTATTTTCAATCTCAAATAGCAGCTGATAATGAACAGTGCCTCATAAGCTTTGATTTCACAGAAGTACAATTAATTGAAACAGTCAGTCCCATAGCAACTGTATCCAAATTAATATTTCCTGTCATCATTCTGGCTTTCACCATGCTTTCTGGAGAGTATAGTCTAGGCAGCCATGCACTAAAGTATGACATTTACCTGTAAATTTATTTCCAAAGAAACATATGAAGGTATTTACTTGACCTCGATTAAATTAAAGATAAGCTCAAGCTTCAAAAACAGTTCAAGCATTAGGACTGAGTTTCTGAAATATGCCAGTCCAGTTTCCTCAATTACAATCCTTCCCCTCTCCTGCAAATTGCAGCACAGGCTAAAATTAAACCAAGTCCATAAAAAAATTAAAATACCCGTGTGTTCCTCATAGCAATGCCAAATTACAGCAATCACTATGCCACTAACAAGAACCACTAAAATAGCATTTTGTCATTCCTGTAGATTTTACCACAAAAGATGGCCAGTACACAATGCAAAGTCAATCTTCTTTTCCACAAAGGGCCTAATTATTCACTTTCTGGCCCCCACCCCACCCAAATACCTGACACTCTGACCAATAAACACAAAGAAAAAAACCCTAATCTTCACAGATTAATGTAACAGAAGAACACCACCTATTTGGACATGATTCAAGTTACCAATAAATGCACAGTTACGGGCATGTATTTTATGCTAGAGGACTGCTAAAAAAGAGCTAAATGGTAGTGTTGTCTCTGCATTCTGTCCAAATGAACCTTTGTGGTATGTCAGAATGATGAGTAGAAGATGGTAGTGGAGAGAGAGAGGGAAAGAACCAAAAACTTTAATACTGGGAAACACGTAAAGCAAGAGTTATCATCTGAAGGCTGAAGAAAGTGAAAGCACAAATAAACCCACGGTTATGGAAAGGCTTACTTTCCTGGAACAAGTTTTGACTTTAAACTTAAGATTTCTTTAAACAAAGACCCAGGTCACCCTGCTTTCACGTGTCTACTTAATATCGGTTGCATTTTTAAGTTGGCTACGCCGAGTGAACTGCTGGTCTATTGCTGCTCCCCCTAAAATTCTGCTCTTTGCCATATTTCCTAGTAAGAAATAACAAATGTAGCTGTAAGGACTCACAGTGGGTAACAGAGAAGGAGGAGAATTACTAGGACAGCAAGAGGGCACTCCAGATGAGAAATACAAAGTGGTAATGCCCAAGAATCCCTTCTCCCAGAACTCAGGTGGGATGGTTGTCACCCAGTAAAAAAAAAAAACCACACACAAACATAGGGATGTCACATGTAACAGCAGCCATCCTCTTCCAACAAATGCATGGAAACCTGCAGCAGCACATAAGATACTAGCTTATTAAGGTTCTCAAAGGTTTCCTTCTTCAGTGTTGTTAGGTATACAGTCAGTGCCCTCTCATAAGGGGAGGTTGTTCACATCTCAGAGCTGTTTCAGATGGCCTGTAGACCCATTAAAGAATAGCTCTGCCTTAGCTAGCACTTCAGATACGCTGTTGTTGCAGGCAGAGGAATATCAGGGTCGTTTCAGCTGAAAAGCACAAATCACTGTTCCATGTGGACACCACTGGTAACATCCTGCCACATGCAAGTCTTTGCCAGGTCACACAAACTAATACAACATTCCTCCTTCAGTTTGCCTATTGAAAGCCTTTATAATAGATACACTACCTTTTTTCTTTTTCAAAACTGTTGTGGAAGCATGAGCTACATAATATCAGACAACTTAAACACATCCAGACAGGACTGAATGAAGACATGGGATTAGCCTCGATAGCAAATTTCAGTAAATAATAAAATCCCTAGTTTAGCAATACTATTCTATGTTATAGAATGTAAGAAGTGTCCCATCAAAAAAAAAAAAAGAAAAATCTTTACTACAATGAATTCTATCAGCATTCCTCAGCCAGGAGGCTAAACAATGCAACAACATTTGTCAGTTACTCTAATGAAAGAAAGTTAGCTGTATTCTAAGTGTTACTCTTCTTATTGTGCAATATGGAACTACTGAGGAACACTAAGTAGACTTTTACCTTGGTTTTCAGGTTTTTATTTTCTTCCAACACAGCTTCGTATTTTTCTTTCATCTCTGCCACTTCCAAGCGAAGTGCCTCTAGTTCTGGATTCTCAGGAGCTGAAGCTCCCAGATGATGCTTCAGAAAACTGATATTTAGATGTTAAGTATTTCTTCAGTTAGATAACATAACCGCATTTTAGTTTTAACACTTACTATGAAGTTAGAGCTGTGATACATGACCAAAATTGAATTAAACCACTTAATGTTACTACAGGATGAAGTTACAGAAATAAAGCTTTTCAAGTTCATTTGTATATTAGTAAAAAAAAGGAAAGAAAACAAGACATCGGCACACACAGGACAAATTCTCATGTTTTGCCACATTATCCTTGTCTTTTCCTCTCTTAAATGCAGAAGTTCTGAAGAGTTAAAAGGAATAACCAAAAAATAGAATCAATAGCCAAAAAGGAAGGCGGCTTAAAAACAACAGGAAACAAAAGATGTTAATTTTTTCCCCTCTTGTATTATTAAAAAAAAAAAAAGGAAGGAAGGGTGAAGAAGTAGCCTTCAGAAGCCACAGATACTGTAAGTACTCAAATCTAATGCGACAGGTCTCCGACATTCTGTAATGGCCTATAACAACTTTGTAATTGCTGGCACACTGATACACACAGATCTCTTGCATCCTGTCAGACTTCCTGTTAGCTTGTAAGAATGCAATTATTAGCTAAAATGCATCCATAAAAGCAGTGTTCAAAACATAAGCCTTCTAAACAAGCCTCTCCAGCTCACCTACGACTCTGAAGCAGTACTGCAGTTCCATGTGAAGCCTCTATGAACAATTCACAGAAGAGAAAAAGGATACTCCAGTGCACTATTTGGTTTCTCTGGCTCCTCATATAAGGCTACCAACACTGCAAATAGAAAATATTCAACAATTGCAAGAAGCTCATGCAAGTCTGTTTTTAACACATGTACCAACAGTCAGAAGGCACAGAAGTTGCATGTCGCATTTATAGCACATTTTTCTGTTTAACAAGATTTTCACCTATATTCTTTGATGTAAAGAACAGGACTGCTGTACAGGAGGGAAACAGAGCATCCCACCTGCTAACAGCTAGACAGAAGTTTTATGGATTCTCTAACTACAGTCTTTGGCTACTCTAGCACAGAACACAAAGCAGCCTGCACAATTTTTACATATTCTATAAGCAACTGTAGTATTTGCTTTCACCAGAAAAATTGAAATTCTAACTATTTTGAGATTTTCCCTTCATAAACCATTACATTCACTTAAGCTACATCTTTGAACTGCAGGACATCAGCACTTCCATAATTTTCAGCATAAAAGCAAACCTACAAACATCCACAGTTACAAAATTAAATGGCTACTGTTAGAGTAGGTGACACTGCTAATCTTTATGGAAAGGGGCTCTAGCAGCCCACAAAGTATCAGAGCAGTCAGACACAAGCAGTAGTACCTGACAGCTTCAGTAAAACTAGCCATACATATACCAACTCCATATCTGGAGAACTCGGTCACATGAATACTCAGAAAACTCCTAAGCATAACCACTCCCCCCTCCCAACCGGGGCACACACATGACTGTAGAAGACATCTACTTTTGTACTTAGATGCCCTTCTCCCAGTTTCAGATGTCCAAATGGCACAGTCAAATTGGGTTTTGCTAAGCTAACCACCTAAGTTAAAAACAAAATTAGGATGCCACGCTGTTTGGAAGACTTGTTTTTCCATCCCATAGGATATTCAGTATCGCAATAAAAAGAAGTCAAAGGGTACCCACAAGCCAGGCCGAGAATGTTAGCAAGGCACTTATTTGCTTGACATTCTAGATCTGCTGCTCCATCTTTAAACAGTATATTTTTCAAGCAGGAATATTAACAGGTTTTCTCCACATACTATTAGAAGGCTCTCAAAAAGACTTCAGAAAGTTTTAAAAAATGTTAAGCCAACCAGAAAGCTAAAGTATGCATCTAGCATAATAATTTTCCCCATTCTGACATGGAAAGTCATTCTCACAAAACTTACAGGTTTGTTAGTTTTGGAAGAAGCGCCAAGCTCTGCTCGAGAAAGGGTCTTTTTAACTAGAGTGTTTTTAAAAGCACACTTGCTGTTATTTTGTCTCGAGCATTTACTTTCTCTGGAGAGCTCTGGCAGAACAACAGCCCCCAAGACATTCAGCCGTTTCCAAAAGCAAGCACTGAGAAAAGCACACCACGTAAGGAGAAGGGAACCACTTTCCTGTTCCTTACGTGTCTCCACCATTCCTGTTCCACATGCGCCTCTAACAAGCGACCCACACGCACTGAACGCGCGAACTGCCAGGAAGGAGTTAACGCATTGCGGTTCACAAGCCACGTTTCCAAAGAGGTCCTCTGCCGTACCCCAGCGCGCACGGCCTCACCGCCCAGCTCGGACTCGATTTCCACTGCCGCGCCAAGCTCTCCGGGCGAATTCTGCTACCGGCCGCCGCTCGGGAAGAGGAGAAAGCGCGACCGGCTCGCCGAGGCGAGGCTGGGCGCCGGCGGAGAACAC